CTTTTTTAGCTGAATGTAGAAAAAAATACTGCGAAAGTGCCGTAAAATCAGCTGGAGCTATTATCGATCGGCAGAGCCCAGAGCGGGAGAGTGGGTAGATTGTGCGGCGGCGTGCGTTAGAGCGCAGAGTCAGTGTCAGAGACGCAGGGGCAAGGTTATTGCGGCTTTCGACCAACAGGCAAATATCGGGCCGCTAGCCAGCGTGGCCTTAGGACCGCCCCACCGTCCGCAGAGAACTGCACTGTAAATCATTATCATTATCATTAACCGTTTGTCATAGGGGGTCTCTTAGGGTTTGCTCCTAACTGTTATTATCCGATCTCTCATCAGTTCCGAGAACATCAAACCTGCACGGCTCCTTAACGTAATCTCATCTGCTAAACAGCTTTTTGGAAAATTCTTTCCACAAAATTATGGATAGTCTCATCTTACAGTGACCCGCTCAATGGCGCGCGCAACGGCCACATGTCGCCCACTTTTCTAAAGGCAAACAGACCCTATCTACAGGATCTTTGGCTCTATATATCCGTCTTTCGAAGCATATTTGAGAGCTTACGTTCGCTTAGACGAGTTTTATTCATGCCTCTTCTCTTCGTTGTTTCTCGAGAACACAATTTCTCCACACGTATTTTGTTCTTTAGGGGAACTAAACCTCAAAGGCAGGCTTCACTATCACAGTTATCGCACAATACAGGAGGGGAGGGTGACACATGAGTTGTCGTTCGGCAAACTATCCATTCCACCCGCCTTCCCTCGTCTTTTTCTTATGTGTCCCAGAACTTCCGTTGATCGCGTTAACGAGAGGAGCAGACGGGACAAGGGAGCGATCAACTTACAGGTATTATATATCCTTCCTTCAATTGACAGCTTAGCATTCCTTCACGATCGTGAGTTGAAAAATTCCGATCTAGAAATTCTGTAAAGAGTTTCGGGCAGCGTGAAAAACTACTCTCACGGCTCTATACCATTTCCATATTGTTTGAAGACTTGAATATGCTTCTAGAACACATCTTTTCGTCAAGGTTTTCGGAGAATAATTCGTTCAACATTGACTGACACCACCTCTGTAGTGCGTTATGCGCGCGGAGGTGTTAAAAGTATAAAATTGGTTTTTTCTGTAAATGGATGTACTCCTAGGATTCGGAATGGTTCCTGCGTGAACTGTGTTTCGCTGGTTTTTCAATTTATGAGGTCGTTTTGGGCGACAGCCGTACTTCTTCTCATCTAACTTTCTCCATTCAGAGCATGCGGTTTGCCTCTGCGATCAGGAGTCTCTTCGAGGGTCCTTCACAACATGAACTCAGAATGAATCTTTTATCACTCAATTATGTATGACATCTGAGAATCACTGCCTGAACCGAGCCCTGCATTTATGGTCCTTCCCACCTCGCTCGCCGTCACAAACCCCGTGTGATTCTCACAGCGTTTGCATATCCTTGCTACAGCACTCTTACGTCCATTATTGGACGCGGTGGTCCTTCCCGACACTGAGCAAACAACATAAGGTTGATCAGAAAATCGTCCCCAAAACACTTATTGTCATGCAAAACGATATGCAGCAGTGTCTCACATGAAGACGCTCACTTTTTCGAACCGAGTTCTCCAACTTTCGTGAAATCAAGTGACCGATACTGACCTATTTGTACTTTCTTCTCGGTCAACAGTAATACGTATAGATGCGCTTTTTTCGACTGCACTTTTATAACTATTTGTATTAGGTTGTCCGGAAAGTTCTCAGCGTTTTGTGTTACTATTTTTTGTAAATTCGTTGCTGATTAAAAGCTCATTCTCCCCTGCGAAGCAGTAGTGCATCCTGAAGAGAATTTTTTTGCGCCTTCTGATGGTGTAATTGCCGTTTCACCATTGCTTGATAGTCCCCTTTTCCCAAGACTTTTTGAAGTGTAACAAAAGAGCAACATCGGATGATATTTTTTTTCAACTACGAATTGGGTCAATCCGCAGCGCCAGAGACTGCCGCGTCCCCGGACAAATTAACAGGGTCGGGGGGATAATGTTGGAGAAAGCACCGTGCGCCTACAATATCTCGACAAATTTCGTTCTGGAAATTTTAGCCGTGAAGAGGAACCTCGTAACGGTCGGCCTAAAGCAATACCTGACGAGGATTTGAAGGCGTTTGTGGAGGCTGACCCATCCCAAACAGTTCGAGAGATTGCAGAAAAGCTAGGCGTTGGCAAATCCACTGTTGCGGATGGTCTGAAACGCATTGGGAAGGTGAAAAAACTCGACAAGTGGGTGCCCACAATTTGAGTGACCGGCAGAAATTGGCACGTCTCGAGGTTTCTTCTTCACTGCTTTTGCGCAACAGAAACGACCCGTTTTTGGACCGAATTGTCACCTGTGATGAAAAGTGGATCATGTATGATAACAGGAGACGTTCCGGACAGTGGTTGGATGCCGACGAACCACCGAGGCAATTTCCAAAGCCGAATCCTCACGAAAAAAAGATTATGGTCACAGTGTGGTGGTCATCGGCTGGTGTGATCCACTATAACTTTTTGTCCAACACAGCAGACAGCTACTGTGAAGAAATCGACGAAATGTACCGAAAATTGCGTCAGCTGCAGCCAGCACTTGTCAACAGAAAGGGTCCGATTCTTTTGCATGACAACGCCCGCCCACACGTTTCACAAATCACTATCCATAAATTGAACGAATTGGGGGGGGTTGAAGTTCTACCTCACCCGCCATATTCTCCAGACCTTTCACCAACCGACTATCACCTTTTCAAACATTTTCAGAACTTCCTTGCTGGAAAATACTTCATCAATCAGGACCAGGCAAAAAAGCCTTCGTGGATTCTCGACCACCCAGTTTTTTCTTTGATGGGATTTCTCGACTGCTGTCACATTGGCAAAAGTGTGCTGATTCGAATGGTGCTTATTTCGATTAAATCCGATGAGTATTAAGAAAGTTATGATCGTTTAAAGTGAAACACTCAAAACGCTGAGAACTTTCCGGACAACCTAATAAAATCCCTTGTGAGTACCGTTGTTGTTCTATTTGTACATTCTTTCAGTTGAATAGTGTAGTTTTATTTAAATGCAATGCGCATGTTCCGCTTTTATGTCTTCTGAATACCACTCCTACTGCATCTGCCTCACGCCACACTTTTTCTGATAATTGTTGTGCAGACACCTTTCATGCTCGTTATCGGCTAGCGCTAATTACCTGCAAATGAAGTGGAAAACATGTACAGTGACAAATCTCCATTTCCGTTTTCCTTCAATTTTTCAGCCTCTTTGATAAACAGCAGTGTTTTCCTTCCAAAACGTGTTGTAATGGTCTGAGAAAACCATCAATCAAACTTCCTTGTGTTGACGAACACTTGGAGGACTTTGCCACCAGATCACCCTTGTTAAGGTTCTCTTCCATCCTATTAATCAGAATCTTGTTCTCAATCGTAGCTGGTGGCGATCCCGAGCGAGAGCGGCAACCGGTAAAGAGCGGTAACCTAACAAAAACCGCTCTTATTGAAGTATCCTAATTCAAATGAAGTTAAAGGGACGCGTGGTCCCACAACGAAGTGGACGACTTGCGCCCGTAAAACTCGTCCGGCCGTTTTTCCGGGTGTAGGATTCAGGCGGCACTCTCTGAAGCACATCTGGATGTACAGTCGTCATCCTTGCACTTGATAGTCAATGTCAGTGCGGCTGCGTGCGGCGCGGTCGCCCGCACCCGTACTGCACCAATCGTTGAACCAGGAAGTGACATTACTGTATTATATCCTTCGTGTTACTCGTTTTCTATCACTTTTTGTCGCATACGCGTTTCAACGAAAAGGCTGAGAAGGCTTCAAACAGTGTGCACGCTCCTTCTCGCCGACACGCCCCTATCAAGTGCAAGGATGACGACTGTACAGACCAAGGTTATTCGTATGATAAAATACCATAATCAAATGAAGAGCGACAAAACTCTGCTAAAAATGAGGAATGATGCGATCAGCGATTCGAGTAACATCTATGCGACAAGGGAAGAGGACTTGAAACAATCTTTAATTCAGCATCGACATTAATTGCCACATCAAGAAAGACTGAAAAAATCCAGGAGCAGAAAGCTAGAGAGGGGGGTGTAATAGTACGTTTCGAGTGTGGCTGTTATTACCAGCAATGAGGGCTATCGTAGGAGTGCTGCCCGAACATGTTATCAAAATCAACTGATAATTCGCTTGTGTTCGAAAATCTGGGGTCTTTTCAGGAGCTTATATCTTTTTTTAGGTGCGGAGCTTTTGAGGAATGGTGAGCAGCATGCAACGGCAAAGTTTCTACTATTGTGTATTCTACCTAGTTGCAAACTGAACAATCCCCCGTTGGTGAAATATTCCGGATGGGTCACGGTTCGGCCAGGGGTAAATCGCGAGCTGGTTTCCATGATTCACACGAGGACTGCTTCGTTCAAACGCAATTTCATCAGGACTGAAGTCGTCTTGAAACCCCTCCATCTTTTCTCTTTCCAATAAGCTTTACAGTTTTTCTGAAGACCCACTAGTTCAGGAGATATTTTAGATGGGTCACAGATGCGCCACCCTCTGACCCACCCGAAAAATTGACTCCTTATGTGCCATTGTGAGGATACACCTTCGGAAACTTTCATCTTTCTTCAAAACACATATTTCCGTTCAAATGAGTGGAATAAGATCTCCGCTGCCATCGATATCGTGTGGGTGCGCGCCATGCATTCGATTGCCGCTCTTAAAGACGGAGGCGTACGAAGGGCTCTACAAAATGGTTTCATCAAGAGGATGTCTTCAAAGTCATAGAAACATGAGCCGTAATCCCTCATCCATGCGTACCCATCAATGCTGTAGACCCCTGAAGTGCATTTATGTCAACGTCACTTAGTCATTCGATTTCCGTCTGAAAACTCATCCGTGCGCGATTGCGTAGCGGTTAGACGTCGCCACGACGACAAGAAAAAAGAAGTAGATAAAGAGAGAACAAACACCATTGAACAGATGGCAGCACCACCGATTGGATGCCTTGATGAGGTAGGATTCATTCATTTCTGCTGCATTGCATCATTTCCCGCGAAGTGATCATCTCTTGACAACTTAACTGTTCCAGGGTACACAGAGACCCCAGCCTGCTCACTGTCAAGCCGAAGAACTTAGTCCGACAGTGGATGACTCCGCTTCCTGGCCTGGACCTTCGACCCCACATGCCGTCCACTTTTGTTAGATCGGATAGTTTCATGAAGGACGTGAAAGATGCCATGCTGAAAGGTACCATTCCTCCACATGTTCCTTCTCAGTGGTGAGTAGCACATGCAATTGCAGGAGACACAGATGCGCTTCTGGATCTCTATGTCATTCACTACATGACCAAGCATCGATTAAACGATAGACATGACGCCCAAAACATAATCAAACTGAGACGGGAGCTCGAAACTTCGAAAGCAATGATTTTTTTCTTCAGGAGTTCTCCACGACAAGGATCTCTGATGAATCTTTTATCACTGAATAAAGATACAGCAGCAATGCAAATCTTAGTAATCACATATGATCTATCTTGACGTCAGAATTCACTGAAAGGAAGGTCTCCTATTGAGCTCCGAATACAGGATTAGAAATAAGATTCGTGAACCATCGACTTTTCCATGGAAAGAAGGCTGATGAACGGATAAACCTGAAAAAAACCCTCATAAAATATTTCATGTCTTTTTTAGCATTACGGCTTTCATAGCTCCACTGATCTTATCAACTGAACATCATAGCGTTGCCGGTGCTCACTGACCCCTACAGGTACGACCCCCCCCCTCTCCATCGGCCAAGTACGACCTCCCCCATAGGTTTGACACAACGATGCTCTACCCTGTGCGGCGTGCTCTGTCACGTACCGACGATCCCCGCTGCTGTCGCGAAGTATGAATGCTGCCTCAGGTTGCTTTGCACCTTCAGCAACAATTCAATCGCATATAGCGAGAATTTATCCCGAATCAAAAAGACTCGCATCCGCAATGATACCTAAACTTCCACAACGGGCGACCGCGATATCAGTACAAGTCCCCAAGAAAGTACAGGCGATGACATGAAGGCAGGACATGTTCTTCACGAGTTGGTCGATGTAACCGTCAGCTCACCTTCAGTCCGGGGTCCACGAAGAAAATATCGGTCTTCACATTCCAGGAACTTCCGGTCCATACCACCAACCGCGCCTTGCGACTGCGGTGAAGATGATATCCTAGACCGTAGCGACGTTGTCGGAGCTGCTCGACGTTGGAGATCTTGCAGATCAAGAGTCTCCAGGTAGCTATCCACATGTAACTCCATTTAAGAAGTTTCGCAACTGTTTAGAGGTGACGTGAATTCCAAAGGCCTTTTCCAGTCAGGCTGCGATTGGAGATGACTTCATATTTTGGTGTACATGAAGGTGATGGGCGGCAGCCAGCTCCTGCTTATCGAGGAACATCTTGGGTATCTTCCGCCCTGGTACTCGTATCCACTTCCTCTGTCTGGGCTGCGAAATTTCCACTGATATGTGACTCGGCCGAAGTGACAGTGGAAAGTCAGTTCTAGCAGGTAATGTAGGTAGTGGGACGAAAACACTATTAATGAGTGACGGAAGGTTATCACACTTGATAAGATCCGATATGAGGCTGCAGAAGAGGAAATTCGTCAAATGCATGAGGGTCGCAGTAATAGTAGGTCAATGCCAACATGCGATGTGTGGTGTGATTCTAGGGTACTCATGATGGGTGACAGAAAGTGATAACGAGCATTAACAATCGTCCCTCTTCCAGCCGGTATTGGTTTCACAGCGCCGCATTCGAATGTTCTGGAGCAGAGACCTTGACGACAGGTGGGAATCATGATATCACTTGATAAGTGCTGATAAAAAGTTGTCTTCACTAGATTTCTCAAGTCTGTACTGCTGCCTCTGTAGCTCAGGTATTACGGGCAAGCAGCTCAGTGCTTAATGTTCGCTGATCCCTTATAGTCTCGTCCAGTGAATCATGAAAGGAGTCAGTGCCATCTGTTATCATGGTGAAAGGGTGCGAGAGACAGCATCCGGTGGAGTGCTTATGCCTCCACTTATGGGCGGGTATGAAACTGAATACTCGCTTAGAACATCTGCTCTGTACTTTTATTAGAGAAAAATTCGATGATGTCGAAGTAACACAATCAACAGTGAATTGTTGCTGATATGTGGAAACATTGTCACGTGTGAAAGAGGGCGAGGCAAGAATTCACTTCAGTCTCGTGTGGCTGATGTGAAGAGAAACTGATACAGTGACGTCAGAAAAAAGGTTTCTTCTGATGTAGCACGATTGCAATTAGAGTTGAAGGAAGCAATGAAGAAATTTCACAGTAGAAATAACTTCGTTAACGGCAAATGCTAAAATAAAGCGCATTTCCGTGGGTGTAGTTACCAAACAGCACAACGTTTAGTAGGATTCATCGGAGTGCCAACAGCGCATTTGAAGGCAGCAGCAAACTCTGGTTGATTAGCGACAGCCTGATTAACCCTGGAAAGAATGACCTGTGAGAACCAAATAGAATGAAACCAAACATTTAAAATTAATGTCGTAGTACGTACTGGCTTTATGTATATTAAAGATCAAGTCACCTCTCTGTCTCGTCTGTTTGGACATGGCATTGTATCAAAGTAACCCACACTGTCCGCCGCCAAAAGTTAGTACATCTAGATGGAGATCACACGAAAAGTTCCAAAGTGCTCCAAACGCAACAGCGTTTCCCCAAACAGGAAGTAGAGGTCAGGTATTCAACCATAACGCTTCGAGTTTTTTCAAATTTCGAAAATTTTTGACCAGCTTCGCTAGTTATCGAGTCATGCATTATCAACTGCCCGCAGTTTTTACAAAATCGGCGTGTTGCGATGTGTAGACCCGTTGAAATAGCAGTTTCCCGTATCTGCTATCATATCAATCTCAATATCCGTAAGAAATATCCGGAAGATAAGGTTAGGGTTACTGGTCAGCTTCTTTCATGGGTTACCTATACGCAGTACAAGAAGACTACAAAAATTTTGGGATACCAGCAGGACCAACGACGTCGTCAGTCTTCAAATTCGTCCACAAAGTCTCGGGTTAGCGGGTATGTGGAACGAAGTGAGCTGCCTTTCAGAAAGTTCAAGCCATCTTTGATACCTGCACAGTATTTTGTTCCTTAAGAGATCAAATGTGGAAAAAGTTTGGCTGTCAAAAGCAAGAAAATGAGTAGGGATACTAATATGTCACAAAAAGTCACAATGCAGGGAGTTCATCAAAAGAGGAGCTCGAATTAGAGCACATGAAAGTAAAAAATCATTGAGTATACAGTATCTTATTATTCAGATTCGCGGTTTTCCTCGAATTTTCCTGAGTTTCCTGTTTCAGGCGAGCTACATACCTCCTCCCGCCCGCCCTCGTCGACTTTGTACAGTCGTATCCGACGTCATCCGATTGATTTGGGCGGCAAGGGACGCGACGCGGCTGCGGTGTGTTGCGAGCGCGGCGATCAGCTGTTTCCAGCCTATTTTAGCCATTTTCTCCCTAGTTTACGCTGTTTTGGCTGCTTTCTCA